TTTAAACCTAAAATTACCTCCCGGAGAACTAAGCTAGTTAGAAACCACCATGCTAAAGTAGTTAGAAACATTACATAAAATTATTTACTTCAAAATGCAGAATGAAAAGTTGGACTGCATACTGAAGGTGTAGGTATTTAAATTGTAAAATGGATGTTTCTATCAAAGAATGAGACGCCTGATATATGAAGAAAAGTAAAATAAAGTACTTTTCACCGACTTGTAGCCAAAGACTTGAAGAAAATTTGTGAATATTAAGAAGCAGAATGTAATATTTTAGAGTCCAGATTTATTCGGGATGGGGTTTGGCAAATGTCAATCATTTCGTCACTGTCAAAATTGTCTGCTAGATAAGGAAAGTATTTTTTAACCTAACGCCTGAATTGAATTAGTTTCATGAATTTGTATGTTATACTCTTTAGAATAGAAATACTGCTTCGGATTCTGCGGCATTATTTCCTTTGTGTATGAACTCATTTCATATATTGATTTCATCGTGTTGGCGTAAGTTGGAAGTTTTGTAATATGAGTAGGTAGTAAAAATACATACTGTTATTATTGAGAGAAGTCAATGATTTGTATATGAATGGAATTTAAATATTTTTGTTCTTTAAAATTACTTTAAATCACCGAAATAAATTATATACTAACCTAGCAAATAGTATTTGGTTAAAAATCTTGCAAATTAAAATGTTAATAAACTTTTTTACCCAAAATTGATAATATTAATAGTCATGTTTTACCAACAAGTATCACACCTTTAAATTCGTTGCTTTATACTCACAGCTCATGTGACATGTGACAACATGTTGGTCGGACTATTTGGCTGTGGATTAAGTAACTGAAAAATGTATTAAAATGTCAATTCAAACTATATTTATGATGTGAAAATTATTAAGTTAATTTATGACATAAAAGAGCTGTTTCTTCCATATATCGACACTTGATCAAAGTGTGAAAACTCTGTGCACGTTAATTCATGGCCCTAAATGTGGTTCATAAGTTCTTCCACTTACATCTGAGCAATGACTAATAAAAACGGTTCACACCTAATAAAAATTCTGTGAGATAACGGACTCGAGCTATACATGATGAAATAATGGGCTGCAAATTTTCCTGACACAGCTTTCGCGTGGGAACTTCAATCCCCTTACATCAAGGTGCAAACAAACGCAAAGAAATTAACCCCCGGAGGCGAAGCGGGACACCGCTCAGCGCACCCTGCGCGGAGTCCTTTAAAGGGAGGCGTATCGCATGTCGTTCTCCGCGCCGCCCGCGCCCCGCGCGCCCGCCGCGCGCCTCAGCGGTCGTATGATATTTTCCCTCGTCTGCCGTGGCCCGCGTGCCCTCCGCCGCTGTGTCTGTCCACCTGCCTCCTCGTTCTTGCTTCAGACCGCTGCGTTGAAAATTGCTCCCTTGACGCTATTCCTGCATCTCTTCGTATCCCCCTCCCCCCCGGTTCCCGCCCGCCTATTCCACGTTCACGTTCCCGGCATTCTTTCGTCGCTTCGCTCTTTGTCGATATCATCCCCCGCACACGACCCCGCTCTGGTTATTCGCATTCTTCCTCATCTCTTTCTCCGTCATCCTTTTTTATTGTTTCTTCCGGGCAACTTCTCCTACCCTGATAGCAATGTTATCCATTACGCTTTATTCCGTTTGCCTCATCAATTTTTCGTTTTTCTTTAATCTCTCGTCTTTCACTCTGTTCTTTGCTTAATAGGAGTATTCTTTGCATTCTGTGCGTTTGTACCGACACCACCCCTTATCACTACCGTCCTCTCAGATGGCCGCTCGCTGACGTCTGTCTTCCACTCGCAGGCCCAGACCCCTCGCGCAGTTTTTCTTCACCTGTAAACCTCTTAGCTCCCTTCGCCTCCAGCTAACTTCTATCTGCGGTTCTCACAGTACTGACTTATGTAGTCACCAGAGTTAATTTCACGTCCACGTCCATGTTCACGACTGTATCTACACACGGTCACGACTTCATCACCCTCCCACTCTCCCTCCACCTACACCCGTCCAAACTTTCTCTTACAAACCTATATTCCAACCACTTCTAAATCCAGTCACCTCCAATTCCCTTCCCCATACACAACAACCATGCACGTTGCCGTCGCCCCCGTTGCGGGAGATGCGACGGAGTCGCACTCCGGTGGTCCCGCGTCCAATTATACGGCCGCCGTCGCACCCCCACCTCTTCGCTCTCCAGAGACCTGGCGCGCACGGCCGCCGCCGCCGCCGCCGCCGCTGGGATGCTTCTGCTCGCACGACCGGCGCTCGCAAAGGGGGCATGGGCGGGGTGGGTGAGCGCCGAAATCGGAGAGTCATTCCGCCCAGAGTGCAGGCACGTTCCACTTCAGTTACAAACCTCAAGAGGCCTTCTTGAAACTGATATGTAGGGCGTGTTTGGTGGCGTGACGTTTTTATTGCACCTCTGATGCATCTTTCTGTGTTTCCCGAGTTAATGGAAAATAAGAATGGATGTTACGGTGACTTTGAATAGATTTTTATTCTTGTTTAGCGCACCTTCGGAATGTATTACTTTAGAATGAGATTAGGGTGAATGCGCGTAAAGTCGGACGGAAATAAATTGCCTTTGTTGCGTTTTGGCTAGTTTCATTTTTATGAACTGACTGTGGTAGCTGAACGTAGCAACGTGACAATCAAAAGCGCCGATGACTAGAAGAACTCCGTTTCGTTGGCTAGATGAACGACGAAAATATTCTTCAAATGTTAAGGGTCGGCGATTTTCTGACTCCCTCCGTGATCGAGTTCGTAAGTCAGTAGCTCAATCACTGGGTCTCTTGATACCTCCCACGCGAATGCCGGAGCAACACTTTCTAACAATATGATCCATGGACCACGAACCACATGCGATATTCCTTTTCCATTTGCATACTGCGGACTGCAATGCTGTAGCGAAGAACATCCCTTAACGCTTATGTCGCGGGGAAAAGGTTGAGTATGGCTGATGAATAAATAGTATGTGTGATTGCCCCAAATAGTATGTGCAAATGTTGACAAGTACTACTGAGATAATAATGGACTTAGTGAAGCTATACGGGTCATCACGTAGAGTTTACTACTCGATTCACGTTTTGGCACGACACCCTTTTGCTAGTTCGGGTACTATTAAATAATTAAATTAATAGGTTTCAGCGTTCTCAAGTGTTAATTCAGGCTAGGTGAATTCATTATCTATCGGTTCAAGTAGAAATCTTCCCTGGATTCGACTCAGAGCGAACCGAGCAACTTAATTGGATACTCCCTCTCATACTTATAGTTTCTTCCATCATGTAGTGGGTTACGCTCAAGAGAGTTCAGCAGGGTGTACTACAATACGTTTTTCGGTTCTTGAAGTTCAGTAATTTTGAACTGTTATTTTTGTTGTTTTTATCAATATGTTTTAATATGAAACTAACAAATATATAAACAGATACGCGTATATGTATATACTTGTCTGTATGCATAAACTCTATCCACATATGGGTATATGCATTTCTATACGTACATCGAGTTTCAATTTATCATCGTTCCGACGAGCGTTTTTGCAACAAGAGGTGACTGCGTGCTGCAGTGACAAAACAGCTGACGGGCGTCGCACATCCTGAAAGGCAGCCGCTCCTTCGTCAAACGTCGCGGCGCGACTGAATATATGGATGGCATTTTTGGCGACGAGCAATGTTGACCAATCTCAAAAACCCGTCGGTATTGAATTTAATATATATTTTACCGCGATTCACATTTCAAATTAAAAGCTTTACTTTTTTAAATGTTTAAATTTTCATTTTTACATTATAACATTTTGTTATCATTATTTATCCCACATAACAATGGGAGAAGAAAATTTCATTTTGATTTTACTTGAATATTTTGGCTTGATATGATAGAAAGTTTCTTACAAAAGGTTGCAATCGAAATGAACAGACTAATGTTTAGTATATCCAAAAATGATGCATTTAATACCGTCCAAAGCGTCTAGGAACAAAGACGACTTGTTTCTCTAAAGAATTTGCGGATCAAAATCCTACCAAGGCTCTCTCACTTAGAGTAGCGGTTTCTTCTATTACAAATACAAAGCCTCCCCGGCACTTTTATTAAATGAATTTCCCCATTGAATGATTTTGTCTATATTGGCCCTTCGCGATATGCGTTCAAATATTTATGGTTGTGTCTGTTAGTGATAAAAAGTTTCCAGTCATTGCAGCACTACTCCAATAGCTTAACACTTTTAAGAATCTGAATTGACACGCCAATTCGTGGTCTTTGTAACTTAGAATGAATAAAAGTTATGTAATAATGTTAGACAATTAAGATTTTGATTATTCGTGCTGCGGGTTTGGTAAATTGTGCTGCTGTTAACATTATATTATAATATTTGCATTAAGCCAATGTCCCCAAAAAAGATAAAGATTCAACGCCATTTCTCCTTTCAAAATGAAATGGTAATGATAAATGGCAAGGGCGCACCAAGTATTTTTCTTGGTGTGTGTGTGTGGGGGGGGTATCTACAGGTCCGGTTGGCTTGATGTTTCCTTATAAACATTTTTTTATTCGCAATGGATATGAAATATTTTTATTTGTTAACTTAGAGTTAATATTTATAACGTAAACAACTTATATATTGAATGATTTTCGTTAGTATATAAAATTAGTATTTTTTGTATTATTGACATTTACGAGGAGGGGTGGCAAGATGAAGACCCATCCTACCCCTTAGGTGCGCTACTGATAAGGGGGTAGTTGATTGGCAAAACGTACTTTTATGGTTTGTAATAAAGCTTAAATAAGTGATACCTTTTCCAACCATTTTCGTTTTTGTTGAATATACAAAACAGAAAAAATACAAGTACAGTAATATCGTATATACAAAACAAAAAAAACCTTAGGTTTAAAACCTGACATTTTTTTTTTAAATGGCTGGAAAATTTTAATCCTCCGGATTCGGAAAACGCCCCTCTTAACCGTGCGGCGTGGTTGCGGCGCGTCTGTTGCAGGCTGAACAGCCCGGCGCACGCGGCGCGCTGGGACCAGGTGCAGAAGGAGGTGGAGGCGCTGGGCACGTACCAGCTGACGGAGACGGAGCTCGTGTACGGCGCCAAGCTGGCTTGGCGCAACTCCGTGCGCTGCATCGGACGCATCCAGTGGTCCAAGCTGCAGGTGAGCTCGCCCGCACCCCTCCCCGCGCCCTCACCCCACCGATTAATTCACCCCTCTCTCTCCGCCTCACCACTTCCCTCATTTTCCCCCCACCCGTTCTCCCCTCACCTTCCCCCTCCCCCTCCAGTTCCTCGTCCCCCTATTTTCCCTCGCCCCTCATCGTCCTCCGCACCTCCTCCTTCTCCACAGGATTAAATATTAAGCAACTTGAGAAAGGAAGAGGCCAGTGGCCACTTGGCGGAGCAGGCCATCGCCGTCTTACGACCGTGCGGCGAGCGACAGGGCTGCTTTACGAGCGTGCGTCTGGCGGCGCGAGTGGTATCGTCGAGCAGGACAACACTATTTCAGGAGGGTTGACCTCGTTTATTTCCTCTCGTGTCTCGATTAAAACGAGTTTATAGGCATGGAATTCGGTGTTGTATTCCAATCTCTTTAACCAGTGTCCTTGGACGTAAGGTGACAGTATCATTACATGCAACAGTGACATTACGATGTTATTACTTTTAAAGCAACATATTTGGAAAACATGACATCTGATAAATATGTCTTTGTGGCATTTACAGAGAAAAATAATACATTATTTCGTCAAAGAAATGCATATAAACTTAATGATTTCTGTTGATTTTTCTTTTTGCTCATTTTTTCTACAAATTTGACATATTTGCTTTTGTCTTAGCTAAGAAAAGTAAAAGTAAATTTTCGTTGTAGTTCCTAATGCAGTCGTTTTCCATTATGCCCCTGCCTTTTTATCTTCTCGGAAACTGTTGAATTTGCTTCTACCTCGGTAATAATGTGCTTAGTAAAGTAATGTGGTGGCAATATAATTAATGAATCAATAATGTGTGAACACTCATTGTAAAGAATACGCTACATTCTGCTCATTTAATTTTTTTTTTTTTTTTTTTTTT